GGAGTGTGCACGCTTCCAACAAGAAGAGTCAGGAGCCCTGCCAGGGAAGGCTTCCTGGAGGAGGTGAGGTGGAGCCTGCCAGGGAAGGCTTTCTGGAGGAGGCGAGGTGGAGCTGGTCCACGAAAATTGAGTGGGGTTTCCAAGACACCAGTCTTTTGTGGGAAAAGAGAAATTAACACATGGTTTTAATTTAGTAAATATTTATTTAAAAACTACCCCATTCCAGGGTTTGTGCTAAGTGTCAGGGGTTGGTAGAGCCAGGAAGTATAAAATGATCTTAAGACAGTGGAGAAAGATCTCTCTTTCTAGCAAGGAAGTTAAATCTGTACACAATGAAAGGAAACAAGATAAAAGGCGCGAAGCCCATGACCTTGACGAGGGCTGTGAGAACTGTAAATAGGGAATTTGGGCAGTCCCAGGTGATCTGAATAAACGTCCGGAGGGGCGTTGCTTGCTGGTCTCGGCCTGCGTGTCTCCAGCCCCCGGTTTTCCCCTCCTTAGGGAGGTGAAGGCTGTTTATGTAATCGGCGGCGCCTCGCGGGCGACTGGGGGAACTGGATGGGGGAGCCGGGCCAGGGCTGACTGCGCGCCCCTGGAATCCGCGCTCCGGGCGTTGGCTCGCTCCCGCGCCCTAACACCAGAGCCCGCCCTCCCGCTGCGCAGCCACGCGCCGGGCAGCCAGGTGGTCAGGCGGGCGACTCCCCGAGCTTCCTGCAAAACTGCCTTCTCCCTACCCCACCGAAGCGGCTGGAAAATCCTACAGACGCCTGATCCCATCCACCTACTCAGTCCCCAGCCGGACTGAAGGAAGAGGAAGAGGAAGGAACCCATAATCATCTCAAACTCTGGCCCAGATCGTGCGTTTTACTCTCCGTGGGTCATTTCGTCTCTGTGTTTCCAACCTTCTCTCCCTTTTACTTTTTGGGGATCTCTTAGGAAACAGGAGCAGTCCTCCTCCTCTGGGTTTAACTTCAGTCCCTCACATGGCAACACCAGGAATGATCAAGACTTTTGTTTCGGGTAGTGGTGATGCGGATTTGAGTGGAGGAAGCATCTGGTCCTAGGATAAATTCTGGTTTCTGAGTACTATGAAGAACTAGAAAAATTCTGAGTATGTCGGTTTTCAGGAAGAGGTTCGGATGGGTCAAAGCCCTGTGCAGGGCCATGGGGGCTGCAGGAGATAAGGTGGAGGAAGACAGGGGGAACAAGCCGAGGTCAGTGGTCCAGGCCCCCGAGTCTGTCTTAACCAGGATGCAGCTAGATGCTTGCACTTGGCAGCTTTTTCAACCACCTGCTGATAGACGTTTGTTTCCGGTCTTACCCCGTTAGCAACTGTGCTGCAATGAACAGCTTTGTGTATAGCCTTTCAGTGTATTTGATACTTCCTTTTCAATCCAGGCATATTGAAGGGAGGAAGAAACTGAGAGACAGAAGGAATATTTAAAGCAGACATCAGGACTGGATCAGGAGGAAGCCCGAAGGGTGTAACCTTCCCATAGGGCTGCTAGTAGCCTAGCTTCAAGCCTTCCAGCTGCAGCACATCCCAAAGTGAGGTGTTGGGGGCGAGAAGGGAGTGGGGAGGAGATGCAGAGGAAGGCAAAGAACAACTCTAGGGACCCAGGGTGATCTGGGTGCCAGAAAACAGAAGCTGGAGAAAGGGGAAGATCTGCCCTGGGAAGGAGGCATGGAAAGTGTAGATGTGGGTGCTCGAGGTGGCGTCGCAGAAGACTACCTCTCCACCGTAATCCACGCCGAGGCCCAGTTTGTTTAGACAGACCTGGAGATCCTTCAGTGAGCGCCTGGCACTGGGAGCCGGTGACGTGCAGCAAAGGCTGCACCTCCAGAAAGCCCCGCCTGGGAACCAGCTCCGAGGCCACGCCCAGCATGTAGGCCCCGCCCCGGAACCTTGGAGCTCCGCCTCCCAGGCGCATCTGCCTGAGGAAAGCCCCCTGGCGAGCCCAGCACCCAGCGGTGCTGGGTCTAGCCCCGAAGGGTCTAGTGGGTCTTCTTCTGTGTAGGGAGATGATAGATTGTAGACAAGAAAGACACAAGACACAGAGATAAGAGAAGAATTCAGCTGGGCCCTGGGGACCACTGCTACCACGGGGCGGAGTCCAGCAGTGGCCCCAATGCCTGGACGCACTGATATTTATTGTATACAAGGCAGGGGGGCAGGGCGGGAGAATAACTCATCTGACATGATTGGTAGGGGTCAAGCAAATCACATTCTTACACTATGGGGGGGCACGCGGGTACAGTTCAGGGGGCCACGTGAGTATAGTACAGAGGGTCAGGTGGGTACAGTACAGACGGCCCCTCTCTCAGGTAGCCGCTGCAAGGAGGGGGGGCACATACGTCAGTATCTTTCCATGCACTTATCAGAGAGATCAAAGGCCTTTTAGGAATCTTCTATTCTTACTTCTCACAGCTTCTAAGAATTTCCAAGGGAGCATCAGTGGGAAAGCGGAACATGAAAGTGGACAAGGATGGTGACCATCGGTGGAGAGGTGTTTAAACCCCTGGATACCTGTGGGCCGGCCCGGCTAGTGTCAGATCTTCGTCAAGAGCCGGCAGAGCAGAGTTTTCTCTGAACTCCCCAGTGAAAGGGAAACTCCCCTCACAGCCTGCTAAGTAACTCGTGCCTTCCCAGACGCTGGGGTTACCTGCCGCAAGGCCTGCCTGCTAAGTAACGGGCGCCTTCCCAGGCGCTGGTGCTACTGCAAAGCATTTACTCTCACCTCCTGATCACTTCTCACAATGTCCCTTCAGTCCTAGTTATATGTCACCCGATTATGTCTATACTATAAAACTAAAATGTTCCTACACTGAAGCAAAGATTAATAGAGAATAATGGTGTAATAAGACTGATTGTGTAATTGATTATGTGATTGAATCTAATATCGATCTGGTGTCTTTACTATAACTAGGTAATCAGCAAATATATCATTGCTGTAAGTAATCAGTAAAAATATTTGGTATCGGGCCGGGCGCGGTGGCTCAAGCCTGTAATCCCAGCACTTTGGGAGGCCGAGGCGGGTGGATGACAAGGTCAAGAGATCGAGACCATCCCGGTCAACATAGTGAAACCCTTTCTCTACTAAAAATACAAAAAATTAGCTGGGCATGGTGGTGCGTGCCTGTAATCCGAGCTACTCAGGAGGCTGAGGCAGGAGAATTGCCTGAACCCGGGAGGCGGAGGTTGCGGTGAGCCGAGATCGCGCCATTGCATTCCAGCCTGGGTAACAAGAGCAAAACTCCGTCACACACACACACAAAAAAAAAATGGTATCATTGCTATGACTAAGTAATCAGTTATTTATTATGCTGGGATAGATTGTGCCTTGTCTCTTGCTGTGGCACCTGGGCAACTTTCTTTCCACAGAGCTGAACTGGCACAAGGGTCTGCAGTAGCCCGGCTTCCACAAACCACCCTGGGATTCGAGGTCCAGTGTCACTGTCTTTAGATCCTGGGAAAGGATGAGGTCCGAGTGGGCTGAGGCTGCATCCAGTGTTACAGGGGCTGTGAGAAGATGAGGAGAAAGAAGTGGCCAACCCCTCTTGACAACCCTGGATCAAATTGTCCAAACCCCCTACCTCCCTCTGATACCCCTATCCCACTCCTAGCTCCGCTCCATGCAGCCAGAGAGGCTTTCTCTTCCCAGTCACAGCCTTTGTGGTCCCCAGAAAAGTCTTACGCCCAGCCCTGCCTCCTTCTTCTCAAAGTTAATCCCTACATTTCACAATGTGTTGTTCTGTGGATGCAGAGAGAAGTTCCCCATTGGTGGTAGAGATCATTTCAACACCCAAAGATAAGACCATCTATTCCTTACCCATTTCCCCTGGTCCCTAATTCCCAATATCTAAGAATTGCATCTAGTATAAGTGGTGTTGAGGCTCAGACTTTCTGAGCTCCAGTAATTTTCTAAAATGGAGTTCCTCAAACACAGGGATGAGTGAACAGTCACCACACACACACACACACACACACACACACACACACACACTTCTAGGATCCCACGTTCAATCACAGTTTTTTGTTTGTTTGTTTGTTTGTTTGTTTGTTTGTTTGTTTTTGAGACGGAGTTTCGCTCTTGTTACCCAGGCTGGAGTGCAATGGCGCGATCTCGGCTCACGGCAACCTCCGCCTCCTGGGTTCAGGCAATTCTCCTGTCTCAGCCTCCTGAGTAGCTGGGATTACAGGCACACGCCACCAGGCCCAGCTAATTTTTTGTATTTTTCGTAGAGACGGGATTTCACAATGTTGACCAGGATGGTCTCGATCTCTTGACCTTGTCATCCACCCGCCTCGGCCTCCCAAAGTGCTGGGATTACAGGCTTGAGCCACCGTGCCCGGCTCAATCACAGTTTATTAAAGCTAGAAGTGTCTCCATCCACCCCTACAGAGGCTTGCATGGTGGTTCCAGTTTCTGCTAAGTATTTCAGAATGGGGACCTCATTCTACCTACTGATTTATCCAATCACATTAATTAATTTCCCTTGCTGATGTGAGGGGTTGGGAGAGCTGGAGAATGTGGGAATGTAAGGAAGAGTGAGAGTGGTCGGGCTCATGGGTTTGACGGACTGTGACCCAGGTCGGCAGATGCTCATCTCTGGACTTCACGCCTGGCTGAACTGGTGCCCTCCGTAAACAGCTGCTTAGAGTGCCGGCCGCTGTAGGGGCTTCCCTTCTCCACTAGGCGGCACCAAAGCCAAAGCGATAGGAACGCAAGCTGGGGCGGGATGGCTGAAAGTTGTGTTTTCCCCTCCTTTTGCTCAAGAACTCGATTCCTTCTCCAGCTCTCTTCACCACCATCACCCCCCATCCCCACTCTCAGTAGCCGGAGCCCTGCCTCTTCTCCACTCCTTCCACCCAATTCCACTCAATCAGGAACCCACTCAGTGCCATTATATGCTCCTACGTCTGAGCAGCACCCCGGCTCCCCGTGTTCTCTGAGCTGGCTTGGCTTGAAGGAACCTCACGAAACAAGCCAGGATCGCTGTCAGCCACTCAGTGCCACGGGGAGCTCCTTGGATGCCGCAGCGTCAAATCTCTTCATGCTCTGAGAGCTGGCTCTGCAACCAGATACCTCAGCATAAGAGGCCGGGAGGTGGCTGGCAAGATGGCAGAAGCTCCAGTCTGCAGGTCCCAGCGAGATCAATGCAGAAGGCAGGTAATTTCTACATTTCCAACTAAGGCACACAGCTTATCTCACTGGGACTTGTTAGACAGTGGATGCAGCCCATGAGAGGCAAGCCAAAGCAGGGTGGAGTGTTGCCTCACCCCAGAAGTGCAAAGGGTCAGGGAACTCCCTCCCCTTGCCAAAGGAATCCAGACAAACTAAGCTTCATAAGTGAAGGAGAAATAAAATCTTTTACAGACAAGCAAATGCTGATAGATTTTGTCACCACCAGGCCTGACTTACAAGAGCTCCTAAAGGAAATACTAAGCATGGAAATGAAAAACCAGCCAGCCAGTGCAAAAACATACCAAATTGTAAAGACCATCAACACTGTGAAGAAACTGCATCGACTAACAGGCAAAATAACCAGCTAGCATCGTAATGACAGGATCAAATTCACACATAACAATATAAACCTTAAATATAAACAGGCTAAATGCCCCAATTAAAAGACAGAGACTGACAAATTGGATAGAGTCAAGACCCATCGGGTGCTATATTCAGGAGACTCATCTCACATGCAAAGACACACATAGGCTCAAAATAAAGAGACGGAGGAATATTTACCAAGCAAATGGAAAGAAAAAAAAAGCAGGGGTTGCAATACTAGTCTCTGATAAAACAAACTTTAAACCAACAAAGATCAAAAAATACAAAGGGCATTACACAATGGTAAAGGGATCAATGCAACGAGAAGAGCTAACGATCCTAAGTATATATGCACCCAATACAGGAGCACCCAGATTCATAAAGCAAGTTCTTAGAGACCTATGAAGAGACTTAGATGCCCACACAATAATAGTGAGAGACTTTAACACCCCACTGTCAATATCAGACAGATCAACGATACAGGAAATTAACAAGGATATTCAGGACTTGAACTCAGTTCTGGACCAAGCAGAACCAATAGACATCTACAGAATACTCCACCACAAATCAACAGAATATACATTGTTCTCAGCACCACATCATACTTATTCTAAAATTTACCACATAATTGGAAGTAAAACACTCCTCAGCAAATGCAAAAGAACAGAAATCATAACAAACAGTCTCTCAGATCACAATGAAATCAAATTAGAACTCAGGATTAAGAAACTCACTTAAAACTGCTTAACTCCATGGAAATTGAACAACCTGATCCTGAATGACTACTGGGTAAATAATGAAATAAGGCAGAAATAAGTAAGTTATTTGAACCAATGAGAACAAAGACACAATGTACCAGAATCCCTGGGACACAGCTAAAGCAGTGTGTAGCAGGAAACTTACAGCAATAAATGCCCACAAAAGAAAGCAAGAAAGATCTAAAATTAACACCCTAACATCAAAATTAAAAGAACAAGAGAAGCAAGAGCAAACAAATTCAAAAGCTAGCAGAAGACAAGAAATAACTAAGATCAGAGCAGAACTGAAGGAGAGCGAGACACAAAAAACCCTTCAAAAAAAAAATCAATGAATCCAGGAGCAGTTTTTTTGAAAAGATCAACAAAATAGATAGACCACTAGCCAGATTAATAAAAAAGAAAAGAGAGAAGAATTGAATAGACACAATAAAAAATGATAAAGGAGATATCACTACCAATCCCACAGAAATACAAACTACCGTCAGAGAATACTATAAACACCTCTATGCAAATAAACTAGAAAATCTAGAATATATGGATAAATTCCTGGACACATACACCCTCCCAAGACTAAACTAGGAGCAAGTTGAGTTCCTGAATAGACCAATATCAATTTCTGAAATTGAGGCAGTAATTAATAGCCTACCAACCAAAAAAAGCCCAGGACCACACAGATTCACAACCGAATTCTACCAGACATACAAAGAGTAACTGGTATCGTTCCTTCTTAAATTATTTCAAGCAATACAAAAAGAGGGAATCCTCCCTGACTCATTTTATAAGGCCAGAATCATCCTGATAACCAAAATCTGGCAGCAACAACAACCACAAAAGAAAATTTTAGTCCAATATCCCTGATGAACATCGATGTGAAAATCCTCAATAAAATACTGACAAACTGAATCCAGCAGCACATCAAAAGGCTTATGCACCATGATCAAGATTAGTTCAACATACACAAATCAATAAACATAATCCATCACACAAACAGAACCAATGACAAAAACCACATGATTATCTCAACAGATGCAGAAAAGGCCTTCAATAAAATTCAACACCGCTTCATGCTAAAAACTCCCAAAAAACAAGGTATTGATGGAACATATCTCAAAATAATGAGTTATTTATGACAAACCCACAGCCAATATCATACTGAATGGGCAAAATCTGGAAGCATTCCCTTTGAAAATCAGCACAAGATAAGGATGCCCTCTTTCACCACTCCTATTCAACATAGTATTGGAAGCTCTATGTGGGTGGGAGATCCCATAAGTGCCAAGGCAGGAGTCCAAAGCCTCAGCCTGTTCCCATATAAATAATGAAGAAGAATATAACCATAGTAGTTATTCATAAGTGATCTTAGTTATTCATAGGTAAACATTCAGATATGTATATATATATATACACACACACATGCACCCACATATATATATATGTGTATATATATATGTGTATACACATGTATATATATATATACATGTGGGAGCGTGTGTGTGTGTGTATATATATATATATCTGTATATATGTATATATATGTGTGTGTATATATATATATATGTATATATATACACTCAGCGTAATCTTTTACTAATGTTTCTTGGGTAATGAAGTGTGAACCTAAGGTGACATTGTGACAGAAGTGGCCCTAAGGCAGACGCTTTCAGCCCTCTGTCATGCCCAAGTAAGGGCTGCTGGAGGGTGCCTTGGCTATGTGGCAGCACCAGCACTGGGAAAGCACCTGCTGTTTATCAGGTTATGGATCCTCAGAGGAGCTAGGACAAAACTCCACTCCCCCAAGCTCTTGCAGTGGGCCTGATGGCTGTCAGGTAGACCCACAGACATCCAGGGGCTTAATTGTCTCTTTGTGATGCTGTGCTTCAGTGGTCATGTTCCACGTCCATTTTCATGTTCCGCTTCTGCACCTGGTCCCTTTTTATCTGAGATAGACTCAGTAAAAGTAACATACATCTTAATGTCTTTGTTCTTTCTTGACAATTATGGAGAAGTGCTGACGCATTATAGTCCTTCCCTCCTCTTGACTACTTGAAAGTCCTGGGCCCCTACCTATATGACACACGATGTACTTGACCCTATCACTGAACACTAACGCCTCGCCCTACCTACGCTGCCCCCTGATTTGTACCCAATAAAAGTCAGAGTGTGCAGGCACTCGGGGCCACTGCCAGACTCCGCACTTTGGTTGGCAGTGGACCCCTGGGCCCAAGCTCTCTTTCTGTCCATCTTAGTGTCTTGTGTCTTTATTTCCACAGTTTCTCATTTCCACACCAGTTGAGAGGGGCTTACAGGACTCTGTAGGGCTGGACCCTACAGTTCTAGCCATGGCAGTCAGGGAAGAGAAAGAAATAAAGGGTATTTAAATAGAGAGGAAGTCAAATTGTCTCTGTTTGCAGATGGCATGATTGTATATTTAGAAAACCCATCGTCTCAGCCCCAAATCTCCTTAAAGTGCTAAGCCACTTCAGCAAAGTCTCAGGGTACAAAGTCAATATGCAAAAATCAGAAGCATTCCTGCATAATAGACAAACAGAGAGCCAATAATAGACAAACACCAATAATAGACAGAGAGCCAAATCATGAGTGAACTACCATTCACAATTGCTACAAAGAGAATTAAATACCTAGGAATACAACTTACAAGGGATGTGAAGGACTTCTTTAAGGAGAACTATAAATCACTGCTCAAGGAAATAAGAGAGGACAAAAACAAGTGAAGAACATTTCATATTCATGGATAGAAAGGATCAATATCATGAAAATGACCATACTGCCCAAAATAATTTATAGATTCAATGCTATCATCAACAAGCTACCATTGACTTTCTTCACAGAATTGGAAAAAACTATTTTAAATTTCATATGGAACCAAGAAAGAGCCCACACAGCCAAGATAATCCTAAGCAACAAATACAAAACAGGACGCATCACGCTACCTGACTTCAAATTATACTCTAAGGCTATAGTAACCAAAACAGCATGGTATTGTTACCAAAACAGATATATATATATATATATATATATATATATATATATATATATACCAATGGAATGGAACAGAGGCCTTAGAAATCATGCCACACATCTACAACCACCTGATCTTTGACAAGCCTGACAAAAACAAGCAATGGGGAAAGGATTCTCTATTTAATAAATGGTGTTGGGAAAACTGGCTAGCCATATGCAGAAAACTGAAACTGGATCTTTTCCTTACACCTTATACAAAAATTAACTCAATATGGATTAAAATCTTAAATGTAAGACCTAAAACCGTAAAAACCCTAGAAGAAAACCTAGGTAATACCATTCAGGATATAGGCATGGGCAAAGACTTCATGACTAAAACACCAAAAGCAATGGCAGCAAAAGTCAAAATTGGCAAATGGGATCTAATTAAACTAAAGAGCTTCTGCACAGCAAAATAAACTATCATCAGAATGAACAGGCAACCTACAGAATGGAAGAAAATATTTGCAATCTATCCATCTGACAAAGGGATAATATTCAGAATCTATGAAGAACTTAAACAAATTTACAAGAAAAAAAAACAATCCCATCAAAAAGTAGGCAAAGGATATGAATAGACACTTCTCAAAAGAAGACATTTATGCAGCCAACAAACATATGAAAAAAAGATCATCATCACTGGTCATTAGAGAAATGCAAATCAAAACCACAATGAGATACCATCTCACACCATTTAGAACTTTGATCATTAAAAAGTCAGGAAACAACAGATGCTGGAGAGGAGGTGGAGAAATAGGACCACTTTTACACTATTGATGAGAGTGTAAATTAGTTCAACCATTGTAGAAGACAGTGTGGCAATTCCTCAAGAATCTACAACCAGAAACACCATTTGACCCAGTAATACCATTACTGAGTATATACCCAAAGGATTATAAATCATTCTACTATAAAGACACATAAATACATATGTTTATTGCAGCACTGCTCACAATAGCAAAGACTTGGAACCAAACCAAATACACAGCAAGATAGACTAGATAAAGAAAATGTGGCATATATACACCATGGAATGCTATGCAGCCTTTAAAAAGGATGAGTTCATGTCCTTTACAGGAACATGGATGAAACTGAAAACCATCATTCTCAGCACACTAACACAAGAACAGAAACCAAACACTGTATGTTATCACTCATAAGTGGGAGTTGAATGATGAGAACACATGGACATCACACACCGGGGCCTGTTGTGGGGTTTGGGGATAGGGGAGAGATAGCATTAGGAGAAATGCCTAATGTAGATGACAGTTTGATGGGTGCAGCAAACCACCATGACAAATGTATACCTATGTAACAAACCTGCACGTTCTGCATATGTATCTCAGAACTTAAAGTGTAGTTAAAAAAAAAAAAAAGGTCTGAGTTGTTTTTTTTTAAACTCTTGAGGTTTTATGAGTCTCATATTGTAAAGAGATTTGTTATTATTTGTGTAAACACTTGCCACTTTTTTTTTTCTTTTTTGAGACAGAGTCTCACTCTGTTGCCCAGGCTGTAGTGCAATGGTGCAATTTCAGCTCACTGCAACCTCTGCCTCCTGGGTTCAAGCGATTCTCATGTCTTAGCCACCCAAGTAGGTGGGATTACAGGGGTATGTGTGCCATCACACCTGGCTAATTTTTGTATTTTTAGTAGAGATGGGGTTTCACCATGTTGGCTCTGGAACCCCTGACCTCAAGTGAGCCACCTGCCTTGGCTTCCCAAAGTGCTGAGATTATAGGCATGAGCCACCACACCTGGCCCTGCCACTGAAATTTAGATTTGCAAGTAGACTTTGGTGGTTTTTTTTTGTTTGTTTGTTTGTTTGTTTTTTTTTTTGGTTGTACTTTGTAAAAATCGGGTCAGCTTTGAGAGAAGGAATTTACTCATGACAAGATTATTCATGAAAGAAAGCTGGAAACTTAGAATAAAATTTGGAAAAAACTGTGGGTTTTGATGTGGATGGAATGTGTAATCTCAGCACTTTTGGAGGCAGAGGAGGCAGAATTGCTTGGGGCCAGGAGTTCAAGACCAGACAGACTGTACAACACAGTGAGACCTTGTCTCTAACAAAAAAAAACAGAATGAAAGAAGAAAAAAATTCAGATAATTTTTAGAGTAGTTAAACTACTCTGTATGATACTGTAATAGTAGATACATGTTATCATGCATTTGTGCAAACCCATAGAATGTACAACAGCAAGAGGGAACCCTAATGTATGCTATGGACTCTAGGTTATAGTAATGTGTCAACATAGGTTCATCAGTTACAACAAATGTACCTCTCTGGTGGGAGATGTTTATGATAATGGGGACTATTCATGTGGCGGGGCAGGAGGTAAATGGAAGTAGCTCTGTACTTATGCTGTGAACCTAAAACTGCTCTAGAAAATAGTCTATGAAAATGTAAAAACAAAAACAGAAAAGGAGGGCCAGGAGACATTCTGGAAGAGCAACTTTCCCAGCAGAGGAGGCCCAAGACCAGGAGTGGGATGGGGCTGAGGAGTGGCAATTTGGTGGCCTTGATGTAACTGTTCTGCCACCTTTGTGGGAAAAGGAAAAGAGAAGAGGTCAGTGGGATCCCCTCAGCAGCAATCCTCCACTGCCAGACAGCACAGCTGAGCTCTGCACACCGCAGGAGGGTTGGCGGTGAAACTCAAGACAATACACCTGAACAAGTCGGGGGCCCACTGTTTCCTGGTGGAGGTGTAATTTGGGGCGGAACTGAGGAAATGGATGAGATGCCTGTCTCCATCCCACCCCACATCTACCTGTGACATTTCTGGCACCTGAAGTCTTCAAGAACTATAGATTCCACAGTCCCACAAGCCTCGGTCCCCCTGGCAGCCTCCCTAAATCCCTCTTTCTGCTCTTTCCCTATTCTCTTCCATCTCAGGTTGGAACTGAGAGAAATCATTTATTCCCACCCAGCTTTGGTCAGAGGGGGACTTGCATGTTAGGAAGTCCTTTCTGCAGCCTAGGCTCCACTATTCCCCTGTGTCAGGTCATTCCATTTGTGATTTGAGTGGATACAGCATTTTGACCACCTGCAGACTTGGAGGTCCCTTAGCATTCAGAGACAGGACTCTTACCTGGAGAAGATGACCCAGGCTCGGAGGTTTTTTCCATTTTAGAATTATTTTTCTGTAACAAGCCCCCTAGGTGTTGGGGAGAGAAAAGAAATTTGATCTTGATAGCCAGAAGCTGCAAATTAACAACAAAAACAAGCACCCTGCCACCATCAATCAGAACTGTTAATGGTTCTCAATGGGGTCCATTCCCTACCCTTGGGGAAGTGTTGAAACCTGTCAGGTTGTCTCAGTGACAGCAGAAGGAGGGTTCTCTACTGGCTTATAGTGCTTTCCGGGGCCTGGGATGCTAAGCATTTAACAGGTCAAAAACCGTGGAGCATAATAAAGACGGCCTTTCTAAACACCAGTAGCTCCTTTCATGGAGAAATGCTGGTGGAGTAGGATCCGTAAATCCTGCTCTCTGGCTTGGGAATGCATTGTATAGTTTCTGGCTTTGGAGAAAGAAGTTCAAATTCTGCCTCTTTCATTTAATAATCATACGACCTGGGTAACTTACCTCCCCTCCCTGAAGCCACATGGACCTCACTGTAAGTTGCAGATAATAACACCTACCATGGAGGATAGTTGTGGGGTTTTGAAACACTAGATGTGCACTTTTCAGAAATGGTACTTCTACTGTTATCATCTTCGGTGGCAAAACCATCTCTAATAACTTTAACACAGGCTGCTATTACACTGGGTCTCCATCCCCTGAGCTGTCCTGACCTCACACCCAGAGGAGTTTGTCCAGAAACCTGGTGCCCTGTAGGGCGGTGAATACTACAGAGATGAAGCTGCCTCCTTCTTGTCCCGCTTTTTCTTCTCTGTCTCTAGAGTGAAGAAATAAATTTATAATTTTCTACTACTTCTAAATACTTTAAAGATTGGGATTAGTCACTGCTTTGTGAGTTGCCTAAGTCTGAAATAATAAAACAACCATCTGCCTGTTCTCTCAATTGGCTGAGGAATGGGCACTCACTTACATGTGGCCTTCATGCAATCACAGAGACACGATTCTTCCCCTTTTCTCACTTTCCCCAAATGGCAGGAGCAATCAACCATCATTTCTCAGTTACAGCTCTTCATGGCATTTTCATTCATGCTTTTGAAGAATCTATTTTTATCTCTTTTCCTATCAGCCTGCAGGTGGTCTGGGGAATAAAGAATGGGATGAAATGGTGAGAGTCCAGAGGGGTTGAGCAAAGGACTCCATATCACACAGCAAGGCACTGATTTGAAATGCCTGGGAGAAGTGGGAGCTGCATTTATCTCTCATATGCTTAGTGGACCAGGAAGGCATGAAACCCCTGAAGATGCCCTTTCTGCTTTCCTGTGGTGGTTGCCTAGCCTGGCACTGTCCAGCACGAATGTAATCTGAGTCACAAATGTGAGGCACTTACATAATTTTAAATTTTTTAGTAGTCACATTTAAAAAGTAGAAACTAGTAAAATTAATTTTATACATTTTATTTAACTCGATAGTCTCAAAATAATGTCATTTCAACATGTATTATAAAAATTATTGCTATATTTTAGTCTCTTTTTAGACCCAATCTTGTGAAATTAATGATTCTTCACATATAGCACATTTGAATTTGGACTAGCTACATTTCAAATGCCTGTCAGCCCATGTGGCTAGCAGCTACCAAGCAGTACAGTACTGTCCTGAAGCACGACAGTTCAGAGCTAGCCCCTTTCTCACTACATGACGAAGGGAGGTGCTAGGGACAGAATGCTCTGAGGCTTCCCTCTCTAGCTTCAGAAGAAGGCCTACTGTGGGACTAGCCACCCAGAAGCCAGGTGGGGTAAGAGGGGGACCCCACTCTCCTAAACCCTGGATGACGGTCCTGCCTTCTTCCCCATGAAACAGGGCTTGAGAGGGGGAACGAAGATAGACCTCCTGAAAGGGGAGGCTGAGTGCCCTCATCTCCCAGTTCACCTCTGCCAGACATAGGGGCAGAGCATAAGAGACTCCTTTTGCAGGTAGAGGATGAGTCCAGAAGTTGGGGACAACGGCCCATTCCTGGCCTAGATTTCCTGTAGGGGTGCTGGACTGAGTGAAGTGCTGTAGGGCAGAGCCCCTAGATGGGGAGCTACTTCTGGCCCCAGCACCCTACCTCCAGTGTCCTGCAGCCCCAAGCCTGGGGCTAGGTAGTGGAATAAGCATGGGCAGCTTCCCTGAGAGCCACCAGCCCAGTCATGAGGACTGCTCGGGGCAGACTCGGTGGCCCTCTTAGGAGGGATCTGCAAATCTAGAGCAGAGGAAACGTTGCCGGGGAGCACTTCACCTACAAGGCCCTTTGGACACTTCAGGGCCCAGCCACGCTCATCTCCATCTATGGGCTCCAGACTCAGTCACCTCAAGCAGGAAGAAGCAACCCTCATAATAAGAACCGTGGAGATCAGGACCTGTGGTGTACACAGATTCCCTACCACCTTCTGTATTTTCCTGGGCTTTAATAGGGCCAGGTGATCATTGTGCCTTCTTCTTTGGGGTAAAAATAAAAGAAGGAAATAGGGCCAGGTGGGAGTTGAGGGACTGTGTGTGTGTGAGTTTGTGTATGTGAGAGAGGGAGAGGAAAGGGAGATACCCAGCAGACCACACTGATCTCCCCCACTCCAAACCCGATGGGAAAGGGCTGGTCCCCTTTACTGAAATCCCAAACTAGAACCAAACTATTCTTGACCTGAAGAGACTATAAAGCTGCTGGATTGGCTGAGATCATGCCCAGTGGGATAGGGGGAGCTATTAGTGGAGAGCTATTAGAGCATTAGTGGACAAAAGAAAAACTCAGACCACAAAATTAAGAATCTGTTTATGTCTGCCGAGTGGAGATGCCTGGCTGAATGGGTGGGGATCTTGGGGCATTGCTCTGGTTCTCCTTTTCCAGAGTCCCAAGGGGAAGTGTTTGTGTATGGAGGGCTGGGGGTAAGGGCAGGGGAGGAGGGCGTGGAACTCCTGGTGATACTTTCAGAACGTGCCATCTAGTTGTCTGTATTCCAGGCTTAGACCAACACAGCCTTCAGAGTAGAGGGAGTCCTTACAAACACCAACCCTTCTTCCTAGCTGCAAACACAGACAGGTTTTTTAAAAATATCTGGCAGAACATCTAAAATCCAAGTCATCCAGTACTGTTCTGCTGATTTCTGTTTCCCTATAAGGCTGGAAGAGGGATTTCTGCAAAATGTCACTGATTTAAAATTTATTTTCTCTTCCTCTATAGTCAGGAGAAGATGCCAGTGTGCACCAGGGAAGTAAAAGCCAGAGATCACAGTCCTTGCCTGAGGGCCACTGCTGGCTCACCAGACAACTCAGCACCAACTTCCCAACAGACACTGCTCCAGGCCAGGCATCCACGTGTGGAATAGGTCCAGGCCCTCTTTATGGCTCTCATAGTGGTCAGGGAGGCAGATAAGTAACATATCACAAAGATAGAATATAAGAAATGTCTGGGAGAGGCATGGAAAGTGCTCAGCCAGGAGCCTGGCATTAGAAGGGCCCAGGGATTACTGACACATATAAGTCAGTTCTGTTTCAGTGGAGTGAGCAGGGAGAGAATCTCCTAGAAGTAGGTGAATGGAGAAAATGCAGCCTCTTCCTTACCTTTTCATTGCTTCAGGCTCTCTGTGACAGACTCATGTCTTGATTTTGCTTCACTGAGTTTTCTCTCCAGCTCCGGAGGAACAGGGGTTGGCTTGAGAAACTGAAACCCTTCATTCCTAGGAAGATGTGGCTGAGCTGGGTGGTGAGATCAGGGGATAAGGTCTGGGAGAAGGAGGATCTGAGACATGGGGCTGAGAAATGAGCGGATGAAGACCTAGGGTGGGACCGGGAGCAGCAGTTCATGCCTGTAATCCTGGCACTTTGGGAGGCTGAGGCGGGTGGATCACTTGAGGTCAGGAGTTCGAGACTAGCCTGGCCAACATGGTAAAACCTCATCTCTACTAAAGATACAAAAATTATCTAGGCTTGGTGGCAAGTGCCTGTAGTCTCAGCTACTTGGGAGGTTAAGGCAGGAGAATCACTTGAACTCAAGAGACGGAGGTTGCAGTGAGCTGAGATTGTGCCACTGTACTCTATCCTGGGCAACAAAAGAAAAACTCCGTCAAAAAAAAAAAAAAAAACAGACCTGGGGAGGGCCAGGGCTAGGGATATGAGGCAGGAATAAGGTAGGACATAGGGAGATATGTGGAAATGAAGATGAGAGATGGAGACAGAGAAGAGAGAAAAAAAACAGGGTCAGGGAGACAGAGTAGGGGACCCAGGAGCTATTCAGTTGAGCGAGGGGGCATTCAGGAAATAGGAGAATCTGTGTTGAAGAAGCAGGAAGCCTGAGAAAACAGTTGGTTACTTTAACAACCAACCACCTGCTAATATGGTTGGCCTACCTTTCCGCTGCTGCAGACTAAATGTCTAACTGCAAAGTTAGAGGTGGGTGAGAGAGCCATGTTGACTGCATTTGAGTATATTTTGAGTATTGTACATGTGGATGAATCAGTAGGCAAAATACATTTGGGGTGGCCCATCATACCTGCTCAAGACAACTCTGATATCCCAGAAGAGAAAGAAAAAGCACAGCCTCAGCACTTGGCTGATTCCCAGGAGCCAAAAAGGAAGTGCAGACCCTGCTGGGTGCGGAGCAGAGCAGGAGGAGTAAGAACCCCTCCAATTCTCTCTCGCCCCATCCTCCTCCCCGCTCCTCCCCACGGAGGGCTTCTCCAACAAGCTCCTGCTCTGCCAGTAAGCAGGAAAGGGTTTAGACCTCAAGAAGAACTGAGTGAAGAAGAGAAGAGTGAGATTTAGAAGATGGATTTGGCTCTGAGACTGAACAGGGGAACCCTGCTAGCCAGGGCAGGAGAAAGGCTAGAATGGCTTTGTATAATCTTTCTTAAAAGAAGTGAATGGGTTTTTGAAGCTATGGGAGAATAGGAGATGGCTCGAGGAGGGATCATCTCAGCTTGTTTTGAGCACCAGCTAGACCTGCACTGTCCAATACAGTGCATGTGGCTACTGAACACTTGAAATTGTGGCCAGTGGACAAAGAACTGAATTTTTAATTTAATTTTTACTAATTCAAATTTAAACTTAAAATAGAGGCTGGGTGCAGTGGTTCACACCTGTAGTCCCAGCACTTTGGGAGACCAAGGTGGGCAGATCGCCTGAGGTCAGAAGTTCAAGACCAACCTGGCCAACATGGTGACACCCCATGTCTATTAAGAATACAAAAATTAGCCAGGTGTGGTGGTGAGCACCTGTAATGCCAGCTATTCAAGAGACTGAAGCAGGAGAATCACTTGAGCCCGGGAGGTGAAGGTTGCAGTGAGCTGAGATTGTGTCACTGCACTCCAGCCTGGGCAACAGAGTGAGACTCAATCTAAAAAAAAGAAAAAAGAAAAAGTGTAAAATACTTTTTTCTGCTCATGCATAGCAAAGAAAAAAAAAAACTTTTTTCCATTAAACACAACTTTATTGATATGGTAGAACTACATTTTACTTTAACAATTGACAATTTAGCATCTGAATTGAGATGTGCTGAAGTGAAAAATATACACAAAATTTCATAGACTCAATGTTAAAAAAAAAAAAAACCGAAAACCTGGAATCTGAAATATCTCATTAATACTTTTAAAATATGCATTACAGGCTGAAAGGATAATAGTTCAGATACATTGAGTTAAATATTTTATTAAAATTTATTTCACTTTTATCTTTTTAATGTAGCTAACTAGAAAAATTTATAATTCCAAATGTGGCTGAAATTACATTTCTAAAGCATACATGTGGCCTGTATTATATTTATAAATTATACGTGTGGCTCACATTGTCATTCTAATACATGTGGCTCACGTATTGCTATTGGACAGCACTGGACTAGAGGTAGGATGGTCGGGCAATCTCAGGTATTCTGCCAGTGACCCATGCTCTGACCTGAGACTAGGGACGGGCTGCTGCCTCTCTACAGTTCTTTCCCCAAGGGACTCAGCTCCAGCAGCTGCCTGAGTGGCATTTTCTCTTGATCTTCAAGGAATCAATGAGCTCCTTGAGATTGTTCAGCTGTGGCTCGGTGGAGGCAACAGTATTTCCCTGCTTCAGCTCCCTCATGACCCTGCCAGTAAATCCATGACAGCAGGAAATTCTTCTCCTCTAGGATCTGATGCAGGAGTTCAGGTTCTATGAGGATCGTTTGCTTCTCATGTTCCACCTGGTCCTAAGAAACAGGGACAGGCAGAGGATGAGAGGATGGCCTCGAAGGTGCTTCTAGCCCACTTTATTCAGCTATTAACTTCATTAAGTTTATCTGAAGTTCCCAACAAGAGCAGTGTGCCAGGGCAGGGCTGGGAGAAAGGAAAGGAGAGGAGAACAAACTTTTAAAAGCACTTACTACATGCTCAGCTTTAGGCGATATTATTAATTTATGGTTAATCATTTGCCTTCGAAGAACTGAGTGTCTGATACATTTCCAGAAGGCTTTTCACTTTATACTCTTTCATATAGATTTTATTCCTTTCACACACACAGGAAAATAAGTAAAGGTGTTGGGTGGGGTCACAATGTCTTCATTCTCTCTCTCTCTCTCTCTCTCTCTCTCTCTCTCTCTCTCTCTCTCTCGAGACGGGGTCTCACTCTGTCACTGAGGCTGGAGTGCAGTGGCATGATCACGGCTCTCTGCAGCCTTGACCTCCCAGGCACAAACAGTTCTTTCACCTGCAGCCTGTGGAGTAGCTGGGACTACAGGCGTGCCCCCACCACGCTCGGCGTTTTTTTTTTTTTGTTGTTGTTGTTGTTTTTTTGTTTTGTTTTGTTTTGTTTTGTTTTTTGTTTGTTTGTTTGTTTGTTTTTTCTGAGACGAAGGCCTTGATGTGTTGCCCAGGCTGGTCTTAAACTCCCGGGCTCAAGCGATCCTCCCAGAGCCCTGGGATTACTGGCGACGCCCGGTCAATGTTTTCATTTTGTAGTTGCGGGATCCGCTGGGGGCGCAGCCGGATCTTAAACCTGAACTTGCGATTCTAAGACCAGCGCGGTTTCCCGCGCCCACCCTGCCTGCAGGTGCAGACCGAAGCAGCCAGCCCGCGGTCACAGGACGTGCTGCCGCCTGGCGGGTCAGGGGCTCCGGCGCAGAGGAGAGGACTTGGCCCACCCGCCGCGCCGCGCCCGCCGTCCCAGGCCCTTCCTCGCGCGCTCCGTTCCGCTCTGCGCCACTCCTTCGTTATCACTGTGCCTTTTTCTGAGGGATCAGTGTAACAGGGGATTGCAGGAGCTTTGGCAGAGATGTTTCTGCTTCCGGAGATCGTGGGATGGAGTTTTTCTTACCCTGAAGACACGGCTGCTCTGTTCGCCTTGTGCCTTCACTTGCACCGTCTCCTTTTGCTGTAAAACTTCGATCTGCGCTTGGCTCTGCCGCTGCAGAGAGAGGGCGTTTGGGCAGGCTGTGCCTGGTGATTTCTGGGCCTCATAAAATCCTCCTGGACTCTTAGGAGAGCACGTGACACTCTCCAGGTGAGTCCTTGTGTAATTATTAAGAACTCGACTTTCTCAAGCTGGGGGAAAAAGGGTTGCTGGGAAGGTAGAAATCTGGAGCCCAAGTGACCTAAATGAACAGAACATGGTTTTTTATGACCGAGACTATGGATGGTGCTTTGGGATTATCAAAGAACTCCTACCCACTTCCCTTCATCTGCCCTACCAACAACTTTAAGGGAGATGTTTTGTTTCCGTCATTTGAAAGGTGAGGTACCTGAGGCTCAGAGAGGTAAAGTGATTCTTGCAGGTTGCACAGTAAACTCAGGAGACTGAATTTAAGCCCAAACCTTCTGAGTCAAATTTTCATATCCTTTCCATTCTGCCTTGAGCCTTGATTTAAACAGTCAGCAGTTCCGTAGACTCAGCTCTTCGAACGCACTGTGCCTGACTGCAAGCTGTCCACTCGTGCCCAAGGGGTGGGGGCAATGGGGTGCAAACCCACAGTGGGAAGGTAGCAGTTTCCAGGGCCTCACTGAACGCCTGGGCTGATAGGGGAACAGGGAATAAAACCTCAAATGTCTACCTGATAATTCTGGGCAGCTTCATTGATCAAGCTGGCATTATGGGATTTGTGGTCCTTGGATTCACGACACACAAAACAGAGGAACTTCCCATAGTCCTCACAGAAATAATGGAACGTCTCCTGGTGCCTCGGGCATGCAGGCGTTTTCCTTTTGGACCGCACCTCAGAGGCATCTAGAGCTTGGATTTTCTCCACCAGATTCACCAACAATCAGTTGGACATCATTGTATTCTTCCTTACGGAAGTTTTGCAGAGGGGACATTTGAAAAATTCGCATGATGCTTCCCCACTCTGAGTGATGCATTTGAGGCAGAAATTGTGCCCACAGTCGATGGTGACAGGTTTCTCCAGAATGTCCAGGCAGATGGAACGGATCGCTTCCTCTTGCAGTTTGTTCACAAACTGCCCACGGGCCATGACAGATCAGCAGGGCTGTTGCAAGACTTCAGGAAGCTGTGTCAAGTCTGTAGGAGTCCAGGAGTCCACTGTGGACACCACTTCTAGGAAGGGAGAAGGGAGTCAGAAAAGGTGGAGGGCAGAGATTCTGACAATTAGTTAGAAGAGCAGGGAGAGAGAAAAAGAAGAGGGAGAAAAAAAAAAGAATGATAGAAAAGGGTAAAATCTAGATCTAGAAAATATTATAAAGAGAGGAAAACAGACGGGCAATCCTACCTTGCTACCTCTTGAGAACAAATGGATAGTCTGAATGTGTAATAGGCTGCTTATAAAGTGGGATAAGTTGTCCTGGACTTTGAACTAAAGGTATGTTTGTATGGTGGCTGACTGAGATCAGAATGATGGGGGCACCAAACACCACTCAGGATTTCCATCAGCTCTGAGTAGGGAGTGGAGGGGTGGGTGGGGATGCCTGCCGAAAGGTCACAGCTAGTTCACCATAATGCTTTGGGCATCTTGTATTCGAAGTTCAAGCCTGGGTACAGCATCTGGAAAGGAAGGGAAGGGCAATTCTCTACCTTAGGTACTTTGGTTCCTCACAGAATTTTGTGAAAATGTGGAGGTTATCATCACCTACCTTGGAGAATTTCCAGTCACAGGGTCAACCAGCCACTCCCTAGGTCAGCAGGAGAGGCAAAGAACTTCCTTTCTGAAAAGTGGTTCTTTGTTTTTGTACTTTGCTCTGGCCCCTGGTGATCTTCTGCCTCCCCACAGCACCTGCAGCAGTCTGTCCTCTGTTAGTATCTTCCCTGTATGTCTCCAATACGCTGATGTCTCCATGCCCATTCTTCGCTTTGCCAGTTCTGTCTATATGTGCTTCCTCTTCCTTCTTGGTGCTTCTCTGATCCCTGACTTGTCTTCCCCATGGCTTCTGACTAGGAATACATCAACCAGTGTCACATACATTCCCTTCTGTACATTCACATCCTAACCTTCCCTCCTTCCCTCTTGTCTTAAGGAAAAAGATGCTTCCTCCCTACCTCTTCCCTTGATCTAGCTTCCCTCCCCTCTCTCCATTATTGGCCATCTGTCCCCAGCAAGAAGTATACCATTAATTTTTATTTGATCTTAATTTTAGGTCAAACAGAGCTTGTGGATGATTTTATAATAATAGCCAGAGTGATCATACATTCTGCTTTGCCTGGAGCCATCTTGGGTTTCACTTTGTTCTGGTATAATTATTTATTAATAACACTTCCTTTCATTTTCAGAAATGTCCAGTTTGGATGATGAATTATGTGGCTCCCCTAATTATAGCAACTGCTGTAAACCAAAGACTTTCAGAAATGTTATACCTCCAGACCTGTTTATTTGCTTTAAGGTTAAATTAAAACAGGCATCCCCAAACTATGGCCTGTGGGCCGCATCCGGCCCCCTGAGGCCATTTATCTGGCCCCCCACCACACTTCAGGAAAGGGCACCTCTTTCATTGGTGGTCAGTGAGAGGAGCACAGTATGTGGCGGCCCTCCAACGGTCTGAGGGACAGTGAACTGGCCCCCTGTGTAAAAAGTTTGGGGACGCCTGAATTAAAACAACCTAACATCTGCACATTGTTTTATGTATACTCCTAAACTGCTGGCCCCTAGAGGCAGAACTTAACTTTTGACAGGTCTTGTTTGACTGGCATGGTGATTTAGAAAATAATGATAATGTAGATGCCTTTAGAGAGGGTGGCTATGTTCTCCACCACTCTGCTACCTCACATCTTTTTGGTCCTTGAAGGAAATTTGCCATTATGACCTTGATTTATAGATTTATTTTGCTTATATTACCTTATTTAAGTCTCACCTGTAAGAAATTATCTTTATCCATTCTCAAACAGAGCAAATCAGTATTCTTCAGAATCACTTGGAAAACTTTTAAAATTCAGATTTGTGGAACTCCAGCAAAGACTTTCTGTTTCAACAGATCCTTGGTGGGGCCTGATGATTGACATCTTAAGCAAATTCCCTGGAGATGTTGATGCTGCTGATAGAGGCCCACACATTGATAACCCCTGGTTTGGAGACGCTACTAATTGTTCCAGCTAATAAGTGACAGATCTCAGACCTAATTCCAGGTTTCCTAGCCCATATTACATCTTCTTTATTCTTTCTTGTTTCAGCATTAACAAAAACAAATAGTAATCTTTAAAAATGATAAGCAAATACTTTAAAAGAACATCAGTATTTCAATGAAGTTGGGCAAGCCAGAAGAAGAAATGAAAATATTCATATGAACACCACTGGAGAGTTTCAAACAACTATCACCAAACAGGTACCAATGGCTTCATGAGGAAGGAAATTTAGAAATAAAGAAGAATATATAGTGTTTCAAAGGTGCTTTACTCTCTCAAATTATTATTGTTATCCTGGGTTATCCATCCACTGGACTGAATGGATATATATATTTTTCGAGACAGAGTTTTGCTTGTGCTGCACTGGCTGGAGTGCAATGGTGCAATCTCGGCTCACTGCAACTCCTGCCTCCCAGGTTCAAGTGATTCTCCTGCCTCAGCCTCCCAGGTAGCTGGGATTATAGGCACCTGCCACCACACCCAGCTAATATTTTGCATTTTTAGTATAGATGAGGTTTTACCACGTTGGCCAGGCTGGTCTTGAACTCCTGACCTCAGGTGACCCACCTGCCTCAGCATCCCAAAGTGCTGGGATTACAGGTGTGAGCCACTGCACCCAGTCCCTGAATGGATATCTTAAACTCTTAGTAGCCTCAGTAGTCTGAAACCAAATGCCTCCAATTTGCAAGAGCTGGGGTCTTAAAAGAGCTAGTATTATGTTAGTTCCAAAGGACTTCCAAGTCAACTCTGAGGCATAGAGTTTCTAAAAATTAGCCATAGAAGAGGAAGTAATGCAGAGCTCTCCTGCACGAGACAGCTATCACACACAAGAAGGCAGACAAGGAGCCACGCAGCCGTGGGTGCACAGATCTGAAGGGACCTGCCAAGACTAATGGGATGAGACACCTTATCAGAGCCCAGGGAAGGCTAGAGGCAGCTCACTTGTCAGACTTTACAGCCTCACAATATTACATAAGCCTCCCTGCATCAGGATTCCAGCTACAGAAGCTGCTCCTGCCTCAGGATTCACATTTCTGGGCCAATGTCAATACTGTGATATGTTTCAAAATTACAAATGCTTATCCCCTTTATCCTAGAAATTCCACCTCTAGGAATTTATTCTACAGATACTCACATATATAAATTTACTTTGAACTTCATGGTAATGTTTGCATTAGCAAAATATTAGAAAACAACCTAAATGTACATAAGTAGGCAAATATTTAAGTAAATTATAGACCAGCTTTATAACTGAATAGAAATAAAAAAGAATCAGGGACTTCTTTATTTACAAGTGAAAGTATGCCAAAGACATGTTATTATGTGAAGAAATTAAAAAACAAATAATGTAGAGCAATGCATGTATTCTGCCACCATGTAGGCAGGAAAAAAATACTTATTTTCTTGAATATGCATATAAACTCTTTCTGGAAGGATGAGAATCTAATAACTAACAATGGTTGCCTCTAAGGAGAGGGATTGGCTAGCTGGGAAACAGGGGTGGAAGAGAGGCTTTTCTTTATATGATATATTACATTTTGTGAATTTTTAATTGTGTAAATACATTAAGTTCTTTTAGTATTTTTTACATTATGTTTTTACAACATTAAATAATAAATAAAAAAATGGACAGAGAATGAAATGGAAATTTACAGAGCAATAAAACCAATTAACCAATAAATATATGAAAACAGTAGTCCTGAAAATGCTTGCTGAGCACATTGGCTCATGCCTGTAATTCTAGCACTTTGTGAGACCAAGGCAAGCAGATTTCTTGAGCCCAAGAGTTCAAGAGCAGCCTGGGCAACATGGCAAAACCCTGTCTCTACAAAAAATACAAAAGTTACCCAGGCATAGTGGCACACACCTGTATTTCCCAGCTACTTGGAAGGTTGATGCAGGAGGGTTGCTTGAGCCTGGGAGGTGACTGCGCCAATGCATTTAGCCCCTTACAGCACTCCAGCCTGGGTAACAAAGCAAGACCTTGTCTCAAAAAAAAAGAAAAAGGAAAAAATGCAAATTAAAATAAAAGAAGATACCATTTTGTATCTTAAGTCTGGAATACCAAATATAGCCAACAGAATGGAGAAATGGGGACTCTTATACCCTACTGGTGAGAGTATAAATTACAATAATTTAAAAATATTTAGTAGAATTTAAACAGTGTACTTTCATTTTAAGGTTATGTAATGATAATGTTAATGATGAAAATACTGCTACCTCTAAATAAAAGCTAGCATTTTGTGAATGCTTACCATGTGCCAGGCATGGTCTCAAGCATTTTGCAAATTAGCTTATATATATATAGGGAAGTATTATTATTCCTATTTTGAGGACCAGTCTACTGAGGTCAAGAGAGATTAAGTAATTTGCTCAAGGTCATTCAGTAAGTAAATAGTGGAATGGGGACCTGAACCCAGAGAGGCTCTGGAGCCTTCTTACACCCTGTATGATTCTGCCCCAATAGAGAAAATCTTGCATATGCGCACTCAGAGATACATGTAACAGTGCTAAGTGTAGTATTGTTTTTAAAAGTAAAATGTTGAATAAATCCTGTATCAGTGATTTTCAAGTACAGCATTACTGGCATTTTAGGCTGGATAATTCTTTGATGTGGGGTGGGCCTGGACACTGTAGGATGCTTACCAGCATCCCTGGCCTCTACCACTAGATTCCAGCAGCACTCTCATCCCCAAGTTATGACAAACAAAAATGTCTCCAAGCATGACCGAGTGTCCCTGGGGGACAAAACCTCTAGTTGAAAACCAGTGATCTGTATGTAGTCATATAGCTGAATCTCAAAACTGTAATGAGTATGTGATAATTTATATACACTTAGAAACACACAACATTTCATGGAGTTTGCAGTTTCCGTATATATGATAGAAGTTTAAACACAGGGCCTGAAAGGATACACATTGCATTTATGGTGGTGTTTGCTTCTGGGGAGAGAGAGAGAGAGAGGGATGGAACTTAGAA